TCGTGTGATCTCCCGATTAGAGTGTCCTACTGCTTTAAAAACCTGAATTTTTCCAATTACTTCAGCAGTTAAATGCCTTCCACTCGGCATTTTGTTCCACTAGCACAGTTTAACACCCACTTCAGAAATCCGATGTTGCCGCTTTAAAATTGTCAAATCGAGTGGTGATGTCAAACAATTGTCGCATTCTTATATCCGTCGGAGGCAATAAAATTCTTAAACATTCTTAAAAGTGTAGACTACAATGAAACTTTAGATTTTGCGCAAAACGTTTATGTACTGGAAAAGGCATTTACCAGAACAATGTGCACTAATATACCGCATGTAGATAATGAGTTTTGGCAATACATATACCTAGGAGAGCTGAAACAGTGTCGCGGAGTTCGTATGTACAGGGTGTCTTTTTTTAACTGAACACGATGGAATATCTCAGATGTTACTGAAGCTATCGAAAAAATGTTTTTACAAAAGTTATTTGATATGATGAAAGACATCATATTGTATGAATATTTTTTTTCGCGAGTGAAGTAGTGGGATAAATTTCAAGGTCAAGTTTACTTTTTTCAAATGAAACACTATACAACGAGGTGCCACATTAAGTCATTTCGTTTTACGGAAAGCTGTAAAATCGTGAAGTATATTCTATGTATATTCTATAACTTGTCGAGTTTTTTTTAGAAATCCTTTAATTTTATATAGAGAAACATAGTGAATAGCGAAGCACCCCTTCTATAAATAATAAATCAAGGCGAATCCATGTAATTTCATTTTTAGCAATTAAATCAGGTACAGTTATTTGCCTGCAACAAAAGATATAAGGTTCTGACTTTTAAGCTCGAGCATGTTACTGATATGTAACAGTCGAAAATAATGAATGTAACGATACAAGAAATGTGGAAATATCAGTTGAGTTTTAACGAAACAGCCATCGAAAAGTAAGGTTAACTGAAAGTTCAATTTCTAATGTAAGATGCAAGTCAGACGAAGTAACGTCCGAGTAACTTGGTGCGGATAATCGGGATGACGAAACGACGACCGGTTTTCTCGAGCAGAGGATACAGTTTGAGAGTACATTCTCTGAAATTATCCGTCTCTCTCTTCCTCTTTCTTGCTGACGCGAAGCCGCGTAAAGTCGCATCTTGCTACCGATCGATCGAACCAACCAGAGACAGAGAATACTTCCTACCAGCGGTGAATCGATACCGATCTATCCGCATCGATGCTCTTGAGATATTTTTGGAATCTCCTCCAAATATCGCTTGCCAAATGTCACGACATTACTTTGCCAGGACCATGAGAAAGACTGCATTATACATATAATAAAAGAATCCATGCGGGAAATATGCTTCAAATGCTTGGAAATTGATATTTCCTTTTTATAACCTGTTTCGTATATCCGTTTATGCGATAACATCAACTTGTTCATAATTTGTTATTTTACGTGAAAAAAACTACCTTTTTTCTATACACATAGAAAATTTTATACAAAAAAAAAAAATTAAATAACCTAACCTAACCTAACCTTTGCGAGAAGAAAAACATGTTAACTACTTTTTATTTAGAACATTATAGTACTATTGATAAAAAAAATTAAATAACCTAACCTAACCTTTGCGCGGAGAAAAACACGTTACTACTATTGATAAAAAAAAACTAAATAACCTAACCTAACCTTTGCATAAAAAATAAAGACGTTAGCTTGCTTTTTTTATTTAGAACATTTTAGTATTATTGATTAAAGAAACATCTGTCACCACGACTAAATATTTTAACAAGCTCAAATCTTGCAAGCTTCTTGACACGCACATTATGCATGCTAAATGACCGTGACTGATCTGCTTCATTGTACGTTTAAATACTCGTTCATTAAATAAACCTTAAACGCAACGCTGCTTTAGGTCAAACGTCTGTTTGAAGTTAATATAACAACACATATACATTTGCCAATTGTTTGATAAATTTAACAGGAGCTCTCATAAAATTAAACACAAAATTAAATTTGACTTTAATGGCAGAGTACAAATAACATTCAATTTTGTAAAAAATTCGTAATCAATTAACCGGTTCTATATCCTGTAACTATAATATACGAAAAGCATGCAAAATGTGTATAATATTTTAATTGACAATTGACATATATTAATTATGTTGTTCAATTGTTTACACGACTCTAGGAAAATTTATATTCACAAGGAAGTGTTGCAGATTTCTATTATAAAAAGAGAAATTAATATAAATTGAAAATTAAATCAAACAAATCAACCTCTTAATTATTAGTTTCGTTGAAATACAAACTGTAGTTATCATCAGTACGTACTCATAATATAACGACCACGCTTTGTGTATCTCTCTTTTTTCACTTTCGCAGATAATTTTATAATTGCACGGAAATGATAGAGATTGAAAAAAAAAATTTACCGATAAATCTTCACGATGAAGTAAATGAGACAGGTTCGACATGAGATCTTATGAAATATTATATTGTTCGATTACACGTCGAAGATTCCGTTTTTCTCGCAGTTCTTCGTTAATGACAGCTGTTTTTTCAGATGCACATAATATGTCCCGTTATGGTGACACAACATTCTCTGAACGTTTTTCACGTTAGAATTCTTGCTATACGAACACGTGTAGCAGTGATTCACTTTCTTTTGTTCCTTCGTGCATCGAGAGTACGAGAAAACGTCGACGGACGAATATGCAACTTTTACATAAACTATTGAATAAAATTAATTACAAGTTAGAACCACGAGGTTAGAAACAAAATTAAAAACATTCTACTTTCAAGGTTGTAACATTTCAATAAAAATGAACCAGTGTAAGATCGAAATTGTTGCAACAAAATAATCCTATAAGTAACAATGATTACTAAAACAATATTTCGATTTAGGTATGACACTTAACAAATCATGGCGATTTACGGAAAGCTGGGTATAAGCCTAACCTAAAAGTGCGTTGCTTACAAAAGTGACAAAATAAGGATGCAGTAAAAAGGGAAAAGAGAAAAGACTGAGCCACTACCCATACAAAATATTCTTACCTAAATATCATAAATTTTTGGGTGACTATTTAGAGTGACTAATATTGTCCTTGAAAAATTTACGTTGTGTAATAATTCGAATGATCAGAATTAATTCTTTCTACAACGAAAGTATGAAGATTTATGAAATAGTGTGAAAATTTATACCTTCATAGTAACAATGAAACATTTCGATTATTGTTAAATTTACACATGTCTCTAATTGATTGCAACTATTTTTTTCGATTGATCATTTGAATGGAAGTTGTTGAATTGAAAATGAATAATACATAATAAAGAAATATTTGAACAACTATCGAATTAATCGAAGGTTATTTATAATTGATGTGATATTTATAACGTAAGGAAGGATGAACCTTGAATATTGAATATAACTTTCGAAGCAATTAGAGCAAATAGTAGACGTAAACATTCACTACTAACCTTAATATCAAGGTACAGACTTAAATGGTAATTGACAACAAATGTTATACATCACACCGTAGTCTCAATATTATTACAGCAAATATAATGAAATTTGTGTAAATTTAAAAACTATTAAGATAATAGAATTGAACAAATTTTAAAACAGACATTGCCGTAATTTTCATTTACAAATACTTAAAACATATAAGCAATTAATTTTTGAATAACACTACAGCAGTATTACATTAAGCTGCACAATGTTAAAAAAGTTAGAAAATTTCTGAAATTAAGTAAAAAGGAAAAAAATATTTTAATCTTACTTCCAAAATATCTTCCATTTTTAAATCTAATTTCACATAATTGTCACTACAATTTATTTCACACTTTCATTTTCTTTACTTACAAAATATCTTCCATTTTTATATCAAATTTCACATAATTGTTACTACAATTTGTTTTCACAGTGTTTCATGTAACGCATACTTCTATCAAAAACCCTTTAAATATAATTGAACAAATTCAATAGCACTTATATTTTAGTAAGATCATTTTAAAAAGCTCTAAAGTAACGAGCAACGCGTACAATAAACAAGTATGCAAACATTGTTACATCACGAATGGATAGATATAAAATAAACATAATAAAATTAATTATTTAATTTTGAAGCCTATGTATGTATATAAGTAAGTATGTTTATTCATTGAATCATCTATTAGCTGTTTACAATAACAACAATGAAGTTACACATTTGTTTATGCAACAGAACAGTATTAATAACAGGTTAGGTTAATTTCTTAACACGCAGTTTCTACATTTTAAAATGCCATTCTTGCCGCGAAAAACGGGACCTTCAACGCGACTGTGTATATACGATCTTCACGCATGCTAATCCTACTTGTAGCGTGTTCACGGTAGAACGTTTAAATCTTCGACATTATACACAAGTTAGAGCAAATCAGTGCTGGAAATAATATAATCGGCAAGAATTGTGTTACGAGAAAATATAGAAAATATCTATTATAGTTTCTTTTTTTCAAATATTTTCAAATTTTTTTCAATAATGTAACTTTTAATTTATTCAAATTTCAATATTGTTTATAAAACAACCACTGAGTATTTCATTGAATTGTTCATAATTTGCCTTAACGGTTCGTTAGGATTTACATATTACCAAGCGTTACACGTAACAGCGTTGTATATTTATGCGGACACAAGCCTCAACTATAGTTAACATAAACACGAAGAGTTCTTTGACATAAACGCGATGAATCTTATTACAATTATTCTCACAATTTTCATCAATGAATTGCACGAATTATTTTCCGAATTATTTCTTCTTATTACATCAATCGTAGTTAATTCTACGTTTTAGTACACCCGTTATATAAATTGCTACCCTGAATATCAAAATAATAGACTGTATTATACAGATATTTCAAGTAGCAACTAATCACAGGGGAATAAAAAATATTGTAAGAGTAAGATTAAGGAGAATTGATAAGAATAGACAGGGAAACGACAGGTGTCTGTTTTTTTTTTGCCTACACTTCTTACCTTGCCGAGAAGTTGCCCTCTGTAGTAAGCGTTTCCTTGAACCGGATCAACAACGTAATCCAACTCCTCCTCCGCGGAATTACTCCAGGAAGACGTGGACGGTCCTGCCGTGATGACGCTGGTTGTTCTTATTAAAGATGTGGCGGTATTACCAAGGCGGCTTCCATTTGCCGAAGAAGTAACATTACTAGTGCTAGTGGTTGTTGTGACAGTCATGACGTTGTTCGTCGACAACGAAAGGTCCTGCGCGTTGTTGTCTCCCTTGGATGATAGTTGCGCGGAAGAAGCATAAATAAGCGTGGATGTACGCGTGGTCATGCATGTTGTTTCCTCGTCGTTTCTGTAACCGTTGACACCGTTCTCTTTCGGTGTGTTGTCGAGAAGGCAGCTAGGATGGGACGAGTACGAGGAGAGCTCTACGTCCAAGGGCAAAGAAGACGCGCCGTGTTTACGACTCCTTCGACGAACGAGACTTTGCAGGGAAACAGAACTCTTCGAAAAACTCTGACGCGGTCGATCGTTGTCGAGTCTAGCAGTAACAGCTGATTCGACGGCGACTTTCTTCTTCGAACATTCAGATTCCGTGGTAATTTTGACATTCTCGTTACTTTCCTCCTGACATCGAGCAACGACCCCCGTCTTTAGCAAACAGCAAGCTGCTGTTTCGGTATGCAAGTCACCGGGCATCGTCTCCAGGAGGAAACTCTTACTGGTCGTTTCATATTCTCTCGAAGGCGACGAACTCCCGACCTCCACCTCGAGCGTGTTCGAAGGTAACATATCTAGCTCTAAGTTCATTTAACAACTTCGAGCGTTTGTTGAAAGATGTATTTGTCACTTTTCGGTGAAAAATCAATTATTTAGCGCACCCTGAATAGAGGCAACACCGCTTCTCTCCTCTTCTCTCCTCTCGTGACTCGTTTTTCCACCAACTTGTACACTCTGTTTTCGCGTTCTATCGTACCGTGGGATGTCATGTTACACCCGATTTTGACATTTAACGCAGATAACGCCTACTCCTTCACATCCATGGCACATGTGCACTCCGAGATCGTTCGATAACAGCGTCCCGACATTAAACACGCGAACCGACTTGTCTCTGTATCGTTACAGGACGAACAGCTTTTAAATACGTTTGTACGAAACTGTATTACGATATTCAGAGATGCGTACAAATTTACAAGGTTGTTGCTGAAACGAAACGCACGCGTTTTCTCATCTCTGAACCAGCAACATTTCAACTGAACCCAACCGCTTGACTAGTCGATGGTCACTGTTCCGCGCGCACCGACAGAACGACCGACACCCTCTGTCTCTATCCTCCCCACCACTTCCACCACCTGAGTTCTCAGTGCCGTCGATAAAACCTAATACTCTTTAATACTTTGCTCCATTAAACGCAAATGTTTCAGATTTTTTCTCCCTCGTAATTTACAATTATAATCGATTAACAAGAGGAACTAGTTTTCGGCAAACGAATAAAATCGAAGCTTTACAAAAATATTGTATTACTTCAAGGAAGAAAGGAAAAATTGTGAAAGAATACTATAAAAAATTATATCACGTTTAACGAAATACAGTCTCAACAAATAACTTCGTTTTCAATGGTGCATAATTACATTTAATATCGCTTTATTTTATTTTATATCGCTTATTCCGCGAATCGCGTATCTTTATAAATTCAACACAATGTGAAGATATCTGTAATGTGGTAAGTCGTGAGAACGCGTATTGTTTCGAGTGCCGTATAAAAAGGAAACGCAGGCATCAGTGCACTGTTTTTTTTTTCTCGCAGGAAGGAAGTCGTTTAATTTAAAATACATATGTATTCTCATAGAAGTCTAAAATTTCAGATGCCTTTCAATTTCTTTCCACATTTCACGGCGCTTTTCCATGAAGTTACACACGGTAAATGGTAAACGATGTATTTTATCGATATTTGGTAAATGACGCGTTTACATATTAAAAACATACGTAATAAATAGAAATTTCGTTAAAAATAAGTTTGAAAAGATGATAATGTAAACTTTCTGTATAAAAATTTCGTAAGGGCGATAATTGTCGGTAAATGCTACGACTACAGCCCTGATTCTACTATTCGCTTCGTTGTCCTCGTGTTCAATCTGCCTACTTCTTTCTGCCTGTTCGCTTCTGTTGCGCTTTCTCCGTCTCTCTTTTCTTCCACACCAGAACTCTACCTCCGTCAAACGAAGTATATACACGCATCGTCCCATCATGCGTATTCGGTCATTCACACACGGTATACCTGTTCCAACATTTGAGATGCGTTAAGTGCATATCTAAATATAGGAGCGGTATAGGAAGGAACACTTGCTTACAGAATCTAAAGCAACAACTGTTATATATTTTATAAACTGCTTTCCTTCTATGTGCATTTAGATGCTTGGTCGGTATACATATGTACACTTTAGGGACTTTTTTTTTTGGTGTTATGAAAGTAGTAGCACTCGATCGCAAAACAGACAATCTTAAATCAGAATTGTGATCAAATTTTTTTACTTTATGAACGCCAAACGTGTAGAAAAATGGAATTTAACGAATCTAATCATTGTTTTTATGCAAGTACACCATCTTGACGATTATTTGTGCTTAAACTGCTATTACCTATTGTATTGACATTTTAACTGCAGCCAAAATTTAAATTTTCTTCTTAAATTGGAATTAGCTACAAATTGAAATTAGCGATAGTCCTTTTTAAGGATATGAACATTTAACTTTATTTCAATAATTATGAATTGGTGTTAACATGGAAAAAGATATAACAATTTTATCGAAATTAAAATGCAAAATTATCACAGCACATAATTTGTATTCATTAATTATTGTAAATGAATCATATAAAAAGTAGCATGTAATTAAGTAAATTTATAGAGGAAGTTCTTTACACCTCGGAGTTTAGTAATGAAAAATCTTTATATGATAACTAATTGAAAGATATTGCTAATTTTATTGCTTTTATTTTTTTTTGTTTTTGGCAAACAATAGTGAATTATACTACGCAAAGTTTTGAAATTACTCTTGTTTCATGTTCTTGTAAACTTACGAGGAACCGTGCGCTGATTGTGAGACGCTTATCCAAGAGAAAATTCGAAAATACTAGATACTTTTTTTTCAACAGCGAAAATTCACGTTTTGTGAAGTAAAACTCAAAAACATATATAGATAAAAAAATGTTACATACAACGCAATACACAACTTTTTATACGAAGTAATATGACATAAACTAAATCTGTGCAAAATCATAGGTGGCGTCACTATTTTATATTTAGGGGATGAAAATAACCTCCAAAGTGAGATATGAAAATCTAAATCCATGTATCCTGGAAGGTATTAAATTTAAAAGTATGGTTTAACTACAGCAATTGTGTGATTTTGAATCCCTGTATCTTGACGTGCCCTGTATTCTTTGATGTAGGGAGGTTTGCTCGGCCACAGGGATATTTTTAATTTTTAATAACTAAAAACCGAATCCTCAAACGCAATTTTTTCATTCCTGATTTTCGTCTTATTTTGGCTTCTAAAATCACGTCTTAAAATTTCTCTCAGGACTGGCCGAACACCCTATATATGCGACGTGCTAATTCTCATCACAGACAGACGTCACTTAGGTATGACATATAATGTAAATGATATAGGTTGCCTATTTAATGCAAATTCTGCGTGTATAAGAGCAAACATGTACTGTATTGAGCAAATTGCTAAAAATATAAATATTAAGCATGTAACCAAAAATAATACTTGAGATAGCGGGTGGTGTTTCAACAGGATGACAGTAATGAACATGTATTTACCTGCATAGATTCTTACACGATTTAGCGAACAGAATCAAATAAACAGTGTTTGTCACTAATCAAGACTATGGCCTTATATTACACAGATTTAATATTTAGATCATGAAGCATGGACGACTGGTCACAGAATTTTTGTTTGTATACAAAATAATTAATAAACCAATAGATAACTCACAAATCAATAATTTAATTAACTTTAACGGTCTTCAATACCGTATCAGAAGTCTTTTATTATTGAGTACATAGATTTTAAGATTTAATAATATGAATCAAATTGCAAGAATCAGTAATGTTACTAATTATTTTCGTGATATCATAGATTTTTATGCCTTAAATCTTCCGGTAGAAATTCTACACGTGTGAAATTCTACACAACAGGTCTTACAAAAATATACATTTTCATATATCAAAAAGTTAAGAGCATCACCTACTAACGCACCTTGCGTAAATGCACATATTGCAGCGCGATCTGTTGTTGTGATATGTACTATTGTCAAGCGAAAAATCTTGAAGTGACAGAAATATCGTTGAATCATGATTACGTTAAAAGCTTTAAAGAAAGACGTTTTTTTTTAATTGCATTGCAACAATAATCGAAAGTTTTAAAATCGAATACATATTAAATTAGTTTTAATGTTTTGTTTTTGTGTGATGTAACCTAGTCTAGTGCATTCAACAAGAAAGAGATAACGTTGACATGCATCATTATTGGTTCGAAGTTCGCGTGCCTCACTTATCGCATTGTGATTTGCATTCCTTTTCGCAGAACTTCCTTGTTTCTTTGTCAGTATCAGCGTAATGTTCGAAGTGTATATACATAATTTACGTAATATCTATCACGTTCTGTTACCACGGTTAATGATCGCATCGAGTTACCTTGTAAAATTTAGGTAACTCTTCTATTATAATCACGAAGATGCTTGAAAAACAAAACTATAATAAGACAATAACAACTCTTGTGGAACATCTAATTCAGAAAGATGAATTCATTTTTGAAAACAGTCAATTCTATGACAAGCAACAGAAACGTAATAGTCAGAGAAGCATTGCAAACACAGTTAAATATGTGTGTGGCGGAAATACAATATGCACAAGGCATGGAAGAGAACAACACAATAAAAAATTGTGACAAAAGTATGAATTTGTGCTCCATTTTAGAAGCAATTTTTTTACACGGCTTAAAAGATAGTCTTTTAAATCGAGTAACAGAAGCTTTAAGTGGTCCAGATTTTGATGCTGTACCACAGCCAAGTTTTTGGGGTCCATTGCTGGTATTCTCTCATCGGCAGATTATAGACCAAATACAAGGATTAAGCCAACTTACTACAGAAGTTGGATATTGCAGAGCTTGGATACGATTAGCTTTAAACGAAGGCCTTCTAGCTAGCTACTTTTATTCTATAAGAAGGGACAACTCAGCTTTGAAACCATATTATAATCAGTCTGCATTCATTAGAGATGTAGACCTTGTAGAAGTTGCACGAAGACTCATTGAAAATTTAGATAACATTCACTTTGAATTTGCATGTAACAGCAGTTTATTAAATTTTTGGTCAAATACACCTCTTCTATTAGCAGGTATATGGTCACCACCAATGAAATCTTGTCCAGTATTTAGTGCAGTTGATATTGCAAAAACGATAACTACAGAATTAACAGAAGAAGAAAATTTTTGTGAAGTTGAAACTCTGGCTAATGACCAACAGCAGTCAATGCCGATAAATTTAAAACAGCAACAACAACAAGTTGAAACTGCTAGTTCTATTGGTAGTTTTAGTTCCTTTAATTCATCGCAATCTGCCCTTAATAATGGGGCTTATATTGCAGAAGATGATGCTTTAAAAATCATATTAGCCAATAAGAAATCAAGTAATATTGATGTAGATCACTTGACCAATGATTCAACAAATAATGTACCTTTAAAGGAAGAAGAAAAGCAAAATATACAAGAAGAAGAAGAAAAGGAAAAAGAAGAAAAAGATGGAGTAGAAAATAAATTTTCAAGTAATGATAGTCCAAAAAATGATATAGAAATTAACACAATACTTGATGTTGAAAATTTACCAATTGAAAACATTGTACAAAATCATGACACTTTGCATGATATTACTTCAACTGCAGTAGGAAATTCATTAATTGGAAAATTAGGATGGTCTACATCCTTTGAAGATTGTAAATCTTCTTTAACATCACCTGTAACATCTCATGATTCAGGAACAGATGCACCTCGTACTCCATGTGATGGACCCACATATGACTCACTTATTCAAAGCTATCAATCTGCTGGAAATACTTCAGTCACAGATCTTCAAGAATTTTTAAAAAGATACCCTAAAAAGCAATTATCTATTGATGGAACTGAAGTTCAATCAGAAAATAAGGTATAATGTTGCTAAATATTGAATATTTCTTATATGACTTATATGTTAATTTACCTTAACTGTAAGTGGTATAATAAAAATATTACTTTCTTTTGGACATTCCATTATAATTAAAAAAATTTATTAGATTTTAAATAATTTTATCTTAGTATGTAATAATTTTAATGTAAGCACTAATCTATTTTTTATTTAATTATAGGCTGAAATAAACTTTGATGAACAATTAGAAAAGCTTCCTAGGGAAAAAGGTTTAGATGTACAAAATTATAGCTGTTTTGAATGTGATCATGCAATTGGTATGACTTTTTCAAAAATATATACTTGTTCATACACTGGCAACTATTATTGTTCAAAATGTATGTCTCAAAACGAGTATATTATTCCATCACGAGTAATTTATAATTGGGATTTAAAGCACTATCCTGTTTGCAATAAGGCTGCAACATACCTGCAAAATTGTTCAGTATTACTGGATTTTAAAATTTTAAATCCACAAATTTATATGGCTGTAGATACTATGGCTCAATTGCAATCATTACGAATTCAGTTAAATTTATTGAGAGCTTATTTATTTACTTGTCGTGAACCTATAATTGAGTCATTACAGAAAAAAGTTACACCTCGAGACTATTTATACGAACATGTTCATCAATATTCAATTTTCGATCTTCACGACATAGCTAATGGAACCCTTGCACAACAATTGCAAAAAGTAGTAAAGTTTGCAAGGAATCATGTTATAAATTGTTGGCTTTGTAGTCAGAAAGGATTCATATGTGAAATTTGCAATAATCCGAAAGTCATCTATCCTTTTGATATGGATTCTACATATAGGGTAAGTTACAGTTATTTTTTATTATAATCAGACATAAACCATAATTACAATAAAATTTGGCTCGATAATTTATTAAATATTATACTTGTATGATTTTAGTGTGGATCTTGTAATGCAGTATTTCATTCAGAATGTTCAAATGCTAATAAACCATGTCCAAGATGTAAACGCAAACGTGAACGAATGGACCTACCACTTTTAGATGTGGGATGTACAGATTTATCATTAGATGATGCACCGTTTTTAGTTGATACAAATTGATAAACACAATTTGTAATAAATTACAGGTTTTTATTTGTAGAGTATTTACA